TTTGGGAGAGGAGATTTTTTTTGTATTTTTTCTTTTTAGTAACAGCATAAATGTTTAAAAAAAATGTAATATTCCAATCCAATCACAAAAAATAATTTTCTCGTGCTGAAAGGGTTAACTGATCACTCTGTCTGCCTAGTCGATATTCGCAACATCACATCTCTAAAGCCTCCACGTATTCCGTCTTTTTGCGTCATTGTCTACGTTTAAACATAAGTAACGTTTAAAATAAAAATAACGGATAATCACAATTTTTTTAATGTTTTAGTGCTCCAAAACCATTACAATTGTATGGATCATTGTCATTTTAATGAAAATACGGTGTGATCGGGGTATTACTTAGTAAAGCAATATGAAATTAATAGTTAATGTTTGTTTTTTACATAGTTCTAGGTGGTTTGTAAGAGACTGTATAAAGACAAATTTATTAAATAACATAATTTTTATTTTAAAATAAATTATTTATATGAAAATGTCACTTCCCGGGATGTGACCAACCCATATTTTTAAATGTAATTAACTACCTTAATTAATTTTCTAAGTAATACTGCAAAATTAGAATACTACACTAAACTACATTAATATTAGGTTAATCTTAACTATTTATATCTTACCTAAGTGAAAAACTACCTACTAAGAAATAGAATTCAAACATGTGACCGAATTTTTTGTCACATCCATGGAAGAAAGTCACAACGTCTTTTTAACATGGATGCACAGCTCGTATATCCGAACATGTGATGCATAGACAATATAACCAGTGTCATTTCCGAAATCAATTGTCATTTTTACCGGCGAACGCTTGGTTTGTTTGTGAAATAAAAAATAATAAATTAGTTTAAATTCGTCGAGCATAAGTGGTCACAACTGTGTTTAGTTGTAAAAGTAAGTATCTTATTGCATTTTGCTTTTATTACGCTGTTTATAAAGGTTGAATGGTAAAAAAATTATTGACGAAATTATAGCTAGCAGTTGGCTTTTTGAGGTTAGATATTTGCTTTACAAACGAAATTTGTCACATCCATGGATGTCACTTTCATGGATTCCGTGGAAATTTTCTGTCCATGGAAGTGACTAATCTTCCATAGAAGTGAATTTTGATCAGTTTGTGGATGCTGTCTTTTTGAATCGATTTGCAAAAATGGAAGTTCATGTGTAGTAATGACAAGAGGTCAGAATAGGAAAAGTATATTTTCCTAAATTTCAAGTCATCAACTTAGAGTAGATAATATCTACCTCTGAAATCCCTGAATCCGCCTAGTCTGTTCTCTGGTAATATCTTACTCTACTTTTTCTTCAGCGGCGGTTCAGATGACTTTATGAATTTATTCAGTTACGTTTCATTTTTTCTATTTGTTTGCATGTTTTTCTATTTGTTTGCATGTTTTTCTTCCCAGATGCCCAAAAACAAACGTCCAATGACTGCTGAAGAAATACGACAAAAGAAACGAGAATGCGAACGAAAACGAAGAGCTCGTATTAAGGCCGACCCTGTTTTATATGCAGCTAGCAAGAAAAAAGACAATGAGCGTTATGCTCAAAAACGGTGTAAGAAACAGGTTAAGACAGTTAATGAAATGACGCCAAGAGAACGGCGAATTCAACAACGTGCATGGCGAGAACGCAAAGCTAGGAGTAGGTCCAATAAGAAGCGCGAAGAACAACTCTTGCAGAAATTGAAAGAGAATACACCAGAAACTAGTGCTGATGAAGAAAACAGAGCTAGTCCTACACATAAAGTATTCGAACTCGCTCTGTCTTCTCCGACGTCTTCGTTTTCCAGCGGGTCAATAGGTAATCGAATTCTTAGATCGTCTCCAGCAACAAATGAAGAATCTCCCAGCGTCTCTCGGCTTAGTTCTTCTTTATGTAGACAAAAGCTCACGGGTCTTCAAGTCGCACGGAAACGACGCGATAAAGATAGTTATCAGATAAATAATCAGAAGTCATTAATAATTCGTATGAAAAAGAAGATTCATGCATTAAGAGTGAAACTATTACGGGCTAACTGTAAAATACAAAAATTTAATGAAAGTCCTAGAAATATTTCGTCCACGCAGATTGTCACAAAGAGAATTAAAAAATTACATGCTGCGGTTGTAAATTTCTTACAGCGGGATGACAACAGTAAGCTATGTCCTGGAAAAAGAGATGTCATTACCAATCATAAAATGAAAAAACAAAAACGTTACCTTTCTGACACACTTTCCAATCTTCATAAAAAATTTAAGTCTGAATGTAATGTACAAATCAGTCTTTCAACATTTTGCCGACTACGTCCTTTTTGGGTCGTATCTCGGCAAGTTTCCGAGAGAGATACATGTTTGTGTGTTACGCATGAAAATATGCAACTTAAATTCGAAAATCTAAAATACTTGGGAATATTAAATTCTGCGAACTTAACCGAGCTGTGCAAGAGCGTAGTGTGCGATTCCACTGAAGAGGCTTGTATGTTGCGTCAATGTTTTGTGTGTATAAATAAGTCGCCAGATATAAAACCATTTGATGGTGATGATAACACAACATATAAGATGTGGTGTACCGTAAAGGAGTCAAGAATTATCAAAGGCAAAGAAAAGGAAATTAAAAGAACAGTAAAACAAGAAAAAATGGTTACGAAAAAAGAGCTTGTAGTATCTTTTTTAGAAGATCTGAATATTTTTTTGCAACATCAGTATTATATAATGCACCAATATAAAAATATCACATTTATCAAAGACAACCTTGGTGCTGCAGAAATTTTCATGCAGATTGATTTTTCACAAAACTATAACTGTAAATATACAAATGAAATACAATCAGTGCACTTTGGAGCATCCAGACAGCAAGTGAGTCTTCACACAGGAGTCTATTATTACAGATGCCCCAATACGCAAGAAGTAAAAAGTCGTTCTTTTTGTACAATGTCTGACAATTTACGTCATGATGCATCTGCAGTTTGTGCTCATCTTCAGGAAATCCTCAACCAAATTGTCTTACCGCATGAAATCCATACATTACACATCTTAAGCGACGGGCCTAGTGCACAATACAAAAATAGATATATGTTTTATCTGTTTACACAGTACTTAGCGAAGAAGTCCAATTGTAAGACTGCAACATGGAACTTTTCCGTAGCGGGTCATGGCAAGGGGCCCATGGATGGAGTAGGTGCAGTAATTAAACGAACTGCAGATCGTATTGTAGCTCAAGGTACAGATGTACCTGACTTTAAAACATTAGTAAAGTGTGTTAGAGAAAACACTACTAACATCATAATTTCGACAGTTACAACTATGCAGATTGAAAACATTTCTAATATTTTACCAAGATCCATAAATAGCGTCTCTGGGATTACAAAAGTTCATCAAATGACGTGGGACTCAAAGGACCCCCGAAAAATTTATTTACGCAAGTTAACATGTGTAAAGTGCCCACCAAGTACACGGTGTCCTCACATGTCTTTATCAAAAAGTTGTTTTTATTTTGAGGAACATATTAATGAAAAACAGCATGTGGAGATTGAAGATGAAAATGAGAATGAGAAATGTATGCAAAACGAAGAAGAGATGTGTGTATTTGGGCACAGTAATAAAGGTGACCATAAAAATAAATATATAAATTTCTGGGAGGATGAGGATGAGGAGTTATTTTAATTTATCGAATTGTTAGGTTTTTATGATTATTACACATTACAATTTCTAATATTTTTTAACATGTGTACTAAGATGGTATAAAATAATTTTAAAACAATTATGCTCAATTATATTAGTATTAATTTGATTAATCATGAGACTGAGATTAATAGTGACATTAATGAACAATTATAAGTATTATGTTATAATACCTAATAAGAATATTACGAAGTATTATATTATCCTGATATGAGTATTAGAATAGAATATAATCATTTATTTCACATTATCAATTTCACAATATAAAGCTTAATACTATGTCAGAGGATAACATGATCGTCAGTAGTTATGTACATAATGTGTCGATAGCACATTATGGTCTCCAGGATCGAGAGCTAAACCAGTAATACTTAAAGTTCCTACATATTAAGTACATACCTGTATATGAAAGTAAATTGTTAATATTTTTGTGTTGATTTGTTTTTATTATAAGGATAAAGAGTTGTAATTATAACGCTTATTAAAGTTAATTTGGTAAATTATTCTTTAAATGTCACTTCCAAATTTTAAGTGTCACTTCCATGGAAGGGATAGTTTTTGGGGTTGCCATAGTTAGATAATTAAAGCATGCTATGCTCGGTGAGTATTTTTTGTAGCAGACTTGGACCAGTAGTAACCATATACCTCACTTTTTAAATCATTATTAATTATATATTTTTATTGTCATTTTCGTAGTCAGAAGTAAAAAACACCCGTATCATTACTTGTATGAAATCTGTATCATACGTTTCGAGGATGTACTTCTTTCTAATTCCACCATATCATCGTCCAGCATCGGTTTCATACAGGGTGTAACAAACACACCTAGTAATCATAATAGTAACCAGCAACTAACAAAAAATATATAACTTTTCCGTAAAAAAATTAAATTTCTGTTTTATCGCATTGTTCGGCGAGAAAATTTTATGTCTAGAATTTTTTAATTTATTTGTTGTTATTTGTACCATCGCTATATAGGGACGAGTCGTTTTATTGTACACTTTAAAACAAAAAAAATAATCATAAGGTACACCTTTTACTCTCCGTAGTAGTACCAACTCTTACTTTTGGCACAATCAGGAGTTATAGTTATGTTCCTTTGATCTCTTGAACGAAATTGCCATAATCCTCCTTGATATCTTTATTATTGCCACTGGCTTTGAGATGATACCATTGAACATTATGATTTTGCATTTGCCAAGATATTTGCGTTACATATTTATTGCATCATAATATTTATGATTTTATAATAGGTCAATGTCTAGTATGATTTTGTGTACTTGCTTAATATACATACAATGTGCGGGAATCATGTATTTATTTATTTGTTTTGCGTTATTCATTTAGTCTGTTCTTTTTTTGGATGAAAGGTGCCAAAGAATTGACGATTAAAGTCATGATTTAGGATTTAGAACATATAACGTAAAAGTGTTGTATCAAATTATCAACATGAGATCTTCGTTCGTCTTCAGCCTTCTACTTTTGGTAAGTGGTTTGTGTGTGCATTCATGTAAGTTGTGTAATCAAGCCTTGTTAAAAACTTAAATGGAAGTAAAATTAAAATAGCAATAACAAATATGGGCGTAATATATTTTTTGTGATATTGATATGACCGGACGAACGACGCGACGGTAAGCGACACGCCTGTACATAACAGTTGCAGTACCATCGAGAGTTATGAAAAAATTCATTATAGTTCTTTATACGGGACTATGACTGAGTTCAAAAAAAGAACGTCATATTTTTGCTAATTAAAAGCTTAGAGGATGGAAAAAAGGTGTGTATATAAATGATAATTTTAAATTTACAACAGCAGCGAGCAAAAATATCTAAACGGTTATCTTTTTTAATGATAGATCCTTTTTCTTTGAGACATGAAGTAAATGAAATCAATCGATATTTTTATCTGTTCTGAGCTACGGAAAAAAAAATTTGATTTCTATTAATTAAGTTTGATATAAGGAAATACAACTATGTATATTTCCGGATTTAAATCGCATATGTTTGTTTTTTCAAACAAACCAACGTTTTCAAACAAATGGTCAATGTCACTGAATAGTCCATAATTCTTGGACTTAACTGGAAAATTAAATTAACACAGTAATACATTACTTTGTACCTTAGTAGCTATTTCGGTCAATAAAACGAGAAACCCATAAATACCATCGCAGAAGCATAGAACTGGTCAAAATAATTGAGATTTATAAATTAGACAGATAATTAATACACAAATAATAATTTCATAATTCATTACTGCACAAATGAAATATAATTTAAACAGGATATATGCGAGCTTGTCTCTAGAAGAGATATTTTCCAGCCAATCCTAGCTTTAATACATAATAATATATTAATCCATATACAAGTATCGGTTTGACCAAAACGTCCGTGTGGTATCGAAGTATAAATCAAAAACATTTAAAAAAATATATCAAACTTTAATCAATTATGTATTGGCCATGTTGGTTTATTGCCATCGTTCGTGTAATTTTAGGATTGTAAATTATGTAAGGTATAAAATTCCTGTCTTTATCAAATCCATTCAAAGAATTTAAAAAAATTAAAACAAGTGAAAATCGGAAAGGGCTATATCGAGCGAACATGATGGACTAGGTGACATATGTATTTCAACCTAACTGCAATAGCTTTTGACGGTTTTGTGAAGATGTGTGTGGTTTGGCAATAATATGACGAAAAATGACGGCTTTACGATTTACCAGTTCTGAGCGATTTTCATGAATTACAAACTTTCCACCCTACTCATATTATGCGCGCTAAAATATTATTATATTTTAAAAATGTCCACAAACAACATTATAAAAAAAAATTTATTATTGGTAAAACCACGCAAACTTTTCGGCCAACCTATTAAGATCTTGTCGAATGAATGAACGACTGAAATGAATGACTGAAACATCCTTTATTGCACATAAAAATTATAATGACAACATAGAACAGTAAAGTGCGTCTCACAGAGTAAGCTAATGTACAATAGGCGGCCTTAATGCTAAGTAGCAATTGCTTCCAGGCACCCTTAGGATAGAAATTTAAGAGTTAAAACGAAAATCGTGTTACTAGTTTGTGCCAGACGTTCTGGGAAAGGGATCGTGAGAAGGATCCTTTCGTGCAGCCCAAACATATTCAGTATTTACATTATTAGTATACAATATAAATTTATTTGAAATATTTTTATTAGAAGATATTCTTTGGTTGCCCCTAAAGGCATTAGGTTACACCAATATATGCTCCCGAACACGTAATTCGAGCCACCTTGCATTTTTATTATTATAGGGATTGGATACAACAATATTGTTATCATCCAAGAAAAAGTTTTCTTCGGTTTTACAAAGTAAAATCATATACAAGGACTTATGGAAATAACGTTTAGTATACTAGCATAAAATTGCATGAAACTTAATAAGCTTAGGTCATTTAATTAGGGCATATAATTGAAAATGCAAGGTGGTTCGAATTGTGTGCCCGAAAGTTTATTTACATTACTGTTTTGAGTTGCCATTGTAATTTTTAATATGCAAAAAATAATATTTCATAAGTTATGTCTTTGATTCAATATTAAGTATGTTATAATTTAGCATCCTAATAAAAGAACTAATTGATATTACCGCTTTGAAGCAATAGGTGAAACAAACAAATGACATTCATAGTTTAAAAAAGTAAATTTTGGAAAAAGACGTTTTTGTTTCTATACCTCATATCGCAAACATCGGTTACTTTCCATTATATGAATCACTTTCCATTATATGAATCACTTTCCATTATGTTTGTTTGCAGGTTGTATACTATAGACAATTTACACCTTTATCCAAGCGTATCTAATTGATATTCTTTAAGTGTCTTGTATTCTGCCATTTAAGATCTATTAAAAGTCTAAATTTGCGCTATACGTGACATATTCTTATATTTATAAAGCCAAATTCGTACGGGTGATACGTGATATGTAAATATATGAATATCTAGACGAGTTGACATGTATCTATTTAAACAATTACAGAAACTGGTTCTATGGTTCAGTTCGTACCTATAGTATGCATAAGAATGAAGAAAACTAAAGACTACCTACAACGAAAATACCTATTGATCTTTTATAGAACCATTGACTTATTTAGATCCATTAGTGCCAATTAAAATATTTCACCAATTACACGTACACTTTACGATGCTGTCACTCTCGGTATTTTAATTAAAAGCTTTTAATGTTATTTGGAACTTTCGAAAGTTACCTCTAGGTATTAACTTTGTATATGAACCCATTTTGCTTCCGTCTGATAGAAAAAGTTAGGTAATTGTTATTTTGAAAGTGGCAATTAACATGTTTTAGTTACTTAAAAACGTAAAGAATATATAAACCTGAGGCGTCGGACAATTCCATAAAAGGTGAATGTAAGAGAAATATGATTTGCCAATAGAACTTTTTATACACTGGTTTTTTCAGTGCGCTGATTTTAGAAGTTGGTTTTCTAGGAAAATTAGTTTGTTTATTCTTCTGACAGCCTAGTTAATATAGTGAAACGTAGGAATTTATTTACATTTACATAGTTCAACACCAACAGTTTTATTAAAGTTGCGATAAAATTTTTAAATTTTAAACATATATTAATGGTTTTTTACAAATCATTCATCATAGGTATGAAATATATGATTTTTACTTTTTGTATTATTTTCTTAATTTTATATTTGATTTAAATTAGACGAATGTATAAAGGCATCAAAAACGCAAAATGTACAAAATTCAAGTGAGCGTAGTATTAATTGCTAGTCGAGATACAAATACGTATTAAGTGTAATAAAAACAAAACTGCCTCCGTGGCCGAACGGTTACCATACCGGACTGCCACGCAGAGGTCCCAGGTTCGATTCCCGGGCCGGGAGAAATATTTGTATGGCCTACAATTATTTCTCTCGTGAGTTTGGGTGTAATTTGTGGTTGTCTATGTGTGTGTCCATGGCACCCGCGACACAGGGTTTCCCTAGTGCGGGGCTATGTTGAGTGTGTGTTGAGTGTGTGTAATAAAAACAAAATACAGATATCACATAATTGGACACAGGTATCACATAATTGGAGATATCCGTAAAGCTGCAAATGTTAGAACTTTACTTAGTACGACCTATCAAATGGATAAAATCTAATAACTCGACTTCCTGACCTTTTTTCATAATTTGATTCAACAAATCCTACCGCCATCAAAGCACGCACCGAAGCGCCGACCACAGATCAACATATTCAAATCGTTTCACATATTTAATTCCTAGCTCACACTTAATTCTAATTAATTGCCTATTAGCCGACGCATTCAATTACCACTCTTCTTGATTTATTGGTCTATACTTTAATTTTGTAATATTTTATAGGTTGATTAATCACGTGTGAAGATTATTGTGACCAGATTAAGGAGTATTGATGGTTGGCTGGTATCTCTACAAACGTAGACTGTTGGATTTTGAGATAAACATAAATAAACAAGTATTTAACAACATCACACACGTTGCTCTTATCCCAAAGTAAGTAACTAAAGCAATTGTGTTATGGAAATGGAAAACACGACGGCACCACAAACACCCAGACCCAAAACAATATAGAAAAGTTAGTTTCTATGAAAACCGGCGTGCAAACTGGAGTGGAGAATAAAATTATATTGTACTGTAAAGTGTACTAGATAACAAAAAAACAACGTAGTGCATATACATTTATGGTTATTCGCCAGAGAACCAAGTTCGTTGACATAGCTTTTGCGTACCTACATGATGTCTTGCGAATATCATGTTTTGCGAATACGATATTCGCATAAATTCGCATCGATGCGAATAAGCAAGCTGCAGTGGCAGTCGGCTGGCCATATCTGTCGAAGAACCGATAACGGACGGGGGAAGCGAGTTCTTGAGTGGAGACCACGGCTCGACAAACGTAGTATAGGACGCCCACTGGCTATATAAATAAATATTACACATACGTTTATCACATGCGTTGCTCTGATCCCAAAGTAAGTAGCTAAAGCGCTTGTGTTATGGAAATCGGAAACAACGACGGTACCCAACAAACACCCGGACGCGTGATCGAACCTCAGAAATGGCGACACCATGAAAACCGGTGTGCAAGCCTCTCGACTACGGAGGCCGCCATGGATGGTGTGGCGATTTGCAAAAGACTGCTGGCTGCAGATGGATGCGACAAGTTGAAGACCGGGCGAAGTGGCGTGCATTGGAAGAAGCCTATGTCAGACTGACAAGTGACGGGACGAACAAGTCGCGGACCTGATGGCAAGCGACACGTCTATCTATAACAGTTGCAGTGCCACTCAGAACTAAAGTTAAATCACAAAGATCTGAAGGGCACTGCCACTACGTCCTTCCCCCTGAGACATAGGTTGACAAATCTCATGTGCCTATAATTTCACCAGCACCCTTAACCCTTCAAAACCGGAACGCATAGAAATAGGTAAGGTGGCATTACTTCCCTGGACGAACTC